ATGATTGAGGGGTTGTAAAAAAAACTTTAACAAATATCAATTATTGTTCAATGATGCAAAGGTTACACACACAAATCTGTTGGAGCTGTAACCTGTGGATGAAAAGGTTAAGCACAATATTTGGTTTAAGGCTAAGCTTTGGGTATACATGAACAAAACATTTGATTGTAAAGGATGAGGCTTATGAAAATGTTAACATGGCTGACAATGAAACAAGGCCATCAGTCCTGTATCAAATGCAGGATCAAATGTTTAAAGTAAAAGCCGTGGAAGCAGCTTTGCATCAAGTAAATCAAACTGGTCAACATCATAGACTGTAAAAATAATGGACGGGACAAGCTCCCCGGTGGAGTGAAGCTTTTATTTGTAGAGCTCCCCCTGCTGACTGGCTGCAGTATAGGTCATAAACTCCGCCTCCTCAATGATAACAGACGGGATGTGGGTCAAACTGTAAAGCTAAAATACTTGTCACATAATTTTTTTCCAAACCTAAACTCTGCTGTGATCATTAGTTATTATCACCCTACATTGTGTTCAAGTGCTCATTTTTCTGTGAAGTTTGTTTTAAATAAGTTATTTGAGGTTGAAAAACGGGATTTTACGTCATATTTGACGATGATTGACAGCCGCCCATCTTGCGTAGCTCTCTTAAATAGCAAAGCTCCGTAGCGAAGGAAAGCTGAGACGCCATTGAACATTTCCACTCCGTGTTTGTCTCTCTCAGACTGAAAGAATGAGTTGTTCTGCTGTAAACACATCTAACCAACCTGTGGGATTTAAGGATATCTGCATTAGTTGAAATGTTTGTTTAATGTGCTGTTCGGGGGTAATGTCGTTAGCTAGCTCGCTAATACTGAAGTAGGCTAACGGAGCTAACGTTATAGTGGCAATAATATGTTACTGATAGCTGGCTGTGACGGACATTATTTATCTTTTTATTTCAGTAAAATCCTGATCAACTATGCTGGCTGTGCTTTGTGATTAAGATTAAGATTGACTTTATTGATCCCGCAAGGGGAAATTCTGTTTTTACACTCTGTAAATCATGCAACACACACACAGGCTGAAATATACACACACATGCACAAACAGGATCCTATGGACATGCACTAATGGAGAGATGTCAGGGTGCCGCCCACAGCGGGCGCTCCTGAGTTGATGGTGGGTAGGGGGTTTGGTGCCTTGCTCAAGGGCGCCTCGGCAGTGCTCAGGGGGCGATCTGGCACCTCTCCAGCTACCAGACCAACTTCCATATTTGGTCCGCACCAGGACTTGAGCCAGCCTCCAGTTCCCAACCCAAGTCCCTACAGACTGAGCTACTGACCCCCTAATGATACTACAACTTAACTGTGCTCGAGATTCATATTAATGAACGATCAGATACGTAGTAAAATTCAGCATATAGTTGCGCATCACCGACAATAACTTTACGGTCTGTTAAAGTAAAATAAAATATGTCCTGATGGTCTGCATTATTAATAACATTAACAGCTGGTCAGTCTGCTCAGTTTACACAGACTGTAAGAATAACAGGCTTCGACTTTCTTCTGCTCCCCGTGATGCTGCTGCGGGGCTGAAATTTACCTTTAATATTTGGAAGAGGCAGAATATTTCTTCATGTGTTCAGATAACACTAAAGTTATTATCTGGTTCAATAATGTCTCTAACTGTTCAAAGAAAAGAAACAGAATGGACATGTTAACATCAGCAGTCGACGGTAAAATGTAATATGAACCAAACATGATTTGTACAAGGACTCAAAAGTGTTAATTTACTTTAGTTAATATTCAAGACTTCAACAGGTTGACTTTAGTGTTAATTTACTTTAGTTAATATTCAAGACTTCAACAGACTACCAGGAGTCAATTCAATGTTATAATTCACTTAGCAGACGCTTTTATCCAAAGTGACATACATCTAGTACGACACTACTCTTACAACACTAATCCATTCATACACTGCCATCGAAGCAGCGGGAGCAATGCGGTGTCTTGCCCAAGGACACATCGGACATGTTGCCCAGCTGGGGATCGAATTCATTATACGAAAGGCAACGACTCTACCAACTGAGCCACAGCCGCCAATTCAACAGTTTACAGTTGATTTTTTGTGTTTCAGTTTTTCACCTGTTAGCTCAAAAGTTAATTGCCACTCTATTTATGTCATGATTATGAGAAGATTTAATATTAGTTTAATTTTAAAACTTTTCATTTATCAGGCTGTGATGACAGTTCAAAATAATCTTCAATAGACAGTGGCAGGAACACTTTTGTCTTAAAACATAAATTCATAAAGCTGATCATATTATTGGATTCATCCAGTCTTATTATATATTTGTTTTCCCTCTTAAATAGTTCTCCTGTCTTTAATAGGAAAACAAAAACATTATCAGCTACTTATTTATAAAGGCAAACTTTAGAACCTGAATTTTAGCAGAACCTGAGGACAGATCTGATTTCAGGTCTGAAGCATAAACATCACAGTAAAATTCATTATACTTTACATTTAACTCCATGATTGTTTTTTTTTATTACAGAAGATGCCCTCAGATTCAGATCCATCAGCAACCCCTGACAACATGGAGGACTCGTCCCCTGAGTGTTTCCTGTCCTCTCTCGATGGAGTTCTTCTCTCTTGCTAAATTATTTTACTGTGACCAACACTTTGTAGTGCTCCAGTAAATCAGAGACAGTCAATTCAGATTTTTAAAAAGTTTATTTAACCATTTCATGAAAAATCTTCAATAAACAACCCCTGGCTTCATTAACCATGTGGAAAATAAGTAAGGGAGACCATCAGGTCGAATTGCTGGGACATAGGAGAAAGTATAAAAAATAATTTAACAAAGAAATCACAACAAAAATCAAATAAAGTATAGAAATCCTGGATGATTGTTTGACTGTTAAAATATGATGGAAAAGCAAATCCAACACAGCCCTCCAGCATTTGGCCTTTCAAACACAGGGCAACAGCATGTAAAGAAAAATAGCACCATTGAATATTGACCAGGATCTCTGTGTTTTATCTGAGGATGACTATGGTAGCCTTCTCACTGTTCACTGTCACAAAGCACCAGACCCTGTCCACCATTCTTCAGTTGTGCAGACGTCGATCAGCTCCTCTGGGTGACGAGTGTGTGGTATCTATTTGACAGATAATGAAGCCACAAGACAGATAAATCTGTGTTTAGATTCCCTTATTGGCGCTGGCGTCCATGATGAACAGTAAATGGAAACATGAAGGTTATCATGACAAAAGATGTGTTCAGTTCAATGTTTAGTTCTTTACTACTTTGTGATGGAGTCACCTTTCCATTGAAGTAGACCACAGAGAGACCCATTTTATTCATCCTTGTTGCCTTTTTAATTAGTGTCTTGTTTTGTGTAGTGTATACTTTAAGAAATGTTCCAGTGATCATACTGGTCCGGGGCTCTTTCTTATGTTACATCTTTTAAACATGGTTCTGACAGCATTCTATTTGACTGAGTTTGAGAGGTGGCAGTACTGTCACTTAATATGTCGAACAAGTCACTATGCACCTTTGTAAAATCATATTCATCATTAAAAGGTATCATTCAGTACATTAGAAAGCTCTGTGTTTGATTTAATCCCCCCATTCTCCTTATTGTCCTGGAAAGTCATGTTTTTCATACCATCCCACACTGCCTTTAGGTTGTTACTGTGAAATGTGTCCTCTGTTTTATTCTTCTATTGGAGCCTAGCCCTCTTGATTTCATATCTGGCCTCTTTCACCAAAACCCCACCATGCACAAACGTTTCATGTTTCCTGTGCAGTGCTATATGTGTTATATTTTAGAATGACCAAGGCAAAAGAATTAAAGTGTCAGAGGAAATTGTGTACAGTTTGTTGCCTCTCTTCAGCAGTTATGGATTATTATTTGTATTTATTTTCCGAAATAAAGCATGAGCTCTGAAATTGATTATAACATTAACTATTTACTATTTCATAATAATGAACAACTAAACAATCAAGCTAAAAATGAATATACTAGTAAAACGTATTCACATTTATAATTAATTACAAGTTTATATTTGTATTTCTCCCGCAAAGCATCATTGAATACGGTTTCCTGAGGCTACAGGATTACAACAGTAATGAAACTGAATAATTGAACAATGAAGCTTAAAAAAATGAAATCATATGTTGTTATGTATCATAATAATGAACAGAATAATTAAATAATAAAGCTAAAAAAAACAATCCATAGCCTATTTATATTTATTTATAGGTAGGCTATATTTGTAGTTCTTGCGCTCATCCAGCAGATAGTGCTGTTTGTCAGACCATGCTCATCTGATATCTGCCGCCGTTCTGATATCCAATAAGAACAGTGACGGGGAGACTTCCGACCCCGCCCCATCCACGATCCGCGGGGGGGTTATTGTTAGAGAGTGAGGGTGAGTAGCTCAGACATCAGAGGGGGTAAGGAGTAAAGCCAGAAAACATCACTGGAGAGAGGGGCATCTGGGACAGCTTGTTTATCCTGCTGCCACCGCAATCCAGTCCGGGATAAAAGAAGAAAATGGATAGATGAATGAAGAGCATAATTTAAATTCACTTTTGTTGAGTGATAAGTTTGTGTTAGGGGCGGGGTCTTTACTTTGCTGAGGGCGGGTCTAAATGTGTTGTCTGAAAAGGGTGTCAGAAGGGGTGTGGTCTTAAAATTGTCAGGGGCAGGCCTGACTTTCCTGTGGCAGGGGGTAGCGTCTCTGGTCTCAGCCACTGCTTTGGTTTAAGTTTGTCAACCCTCAGGGCAACCCTCTGACAATATGCTTCCCCAATTCAAAAATGCAAAAAGCTTCATCCTACATTACTTACAAGCTAAAAGAATTATTATTGTTTTTTAAATCCAGAAGGAGTCGAATTAAATGAATTATTTTATAAATATCAATTTGATCAACTAGGTTGATGAAGCTTTTATTCTGAACGACGAGCGGCGGAAGTGGTTTTCTGGCCTCTGCTTGAGAGTGACGTTGACTTGACTGTGGTCCTTAGGAGCAGCAGCAGCAGCAGTAGCGGCGTGGGATAATTGGATGAGAGGATGCAGTGGGAGAGGGGTGAGTGAACAGCTGGGTGATGGGATTTAACACAGACACCTGATTTCACCACGGTCTACAGTCAGTGCGACAGAGTCCAGCGTCACACCTGATGTGCACTGCTCACTGCTTGACCACCTTCTGTTTCCATCGGTCCTCCTCTGTGCAGAGGGCCCGCGGTGCTCTGCGCACACAGACATCATCCACCAGCGGCTATTCCGCTTTCACATGTCGGGAGCTTCATTTTCAAAACGACAGATTCATTTGAATATTAAGGATCATAAACGAGAGGAGAGAAGAAGGCGTCTTGCAGAACAAACGTCACTGTCGGAGGATCATCTAGCTCTCACAAGCCAGGTAACAACAATACAATCTTGATTATTACAGCCTCCTATTATTCACCGTTTCCGTTGATGAACAGAAAGCAGCTGTAACGTTTTGGCATTTCTGCACCGGGATCATACAGGAAGTACTGATGGACTTGAAGTGCATTGGTCTTATAGGCTTTTGTTTACTGTTGTTGTGTGTGGTGGGCTCAGTCTGAGGTGGAATGGCCTGCAGCACCGCTGGATATTTAGCCACTTCATATATCACGATAATACGTGCTGTAGTTGTAGAAACTGCTTTTTAAAAAACCGACATCAAACGGGACATGGCTTTAGTCCAGTATGCTTGTTGTAGTTGGTCGTATGTCTGTCAGGTTTGCATAGTGTAGAACATATTCTCCCATCAGGGCTACACCCAGTACTGGACCTGACAGAACTAGACATTATTGGGTTGTAATTCATTTTGTAAGAGGGCAGATGATGTCATGTGTTAGAGATTATATTAGCCATGTTTCTGTAAGACGATGAAGCTATAAATGTACCAGATCCACTCACTGGTAAATACACAGGACACACACATACACAACACCAGATCCACCCAATGGTAAATACACAGCACACACACGTACACAACACCAGATCCACTCACTGGTAAATACACAGCACACACACGTACACAACACCAGATCCAGCCAATGGTAAATACACAGCACACACACATACAACACCGTGGATATGTTTTGAAGAGGTATGGATTCAGTTATAGGTCTACTGTATGTTCATCATTGTGCTCTTCAGTCAGAGTGGTTTCTATTGTTTGTCCTCCCTGATAACAAAAGCTGTGCTTCACAATACCTTAAACACATTTAAAATAATGTGTTCCCATTCATCACCATCAACAATAAAACAACGACAAACTGAAATAAATAACACAAAACCTGTAAACCGACCACGGAGTGTATTGGACAAAATGCCAAATTGTTAAAATAAGACAGAAATGTTTCCTCTCATTTATCCATCTTATCTGATTCTTTATTCTGCAGATTGGGTCTGGCTTAGTGTAATACATAACTACTGTATATGTTTTCCTTTTCTGAGGGCAGGAGGAGAAGGCTAGAGCATCTTGTCCTCAAAATACTGGATTAGTTCAGCCGCTGCAGTCTACATGCCAAAGTGTCCTTGAGCAAGACATAAAACCCCAAAGTGCATCACGATCACCATATTAATGTGTGTGAATGTGTTTGGATCGATAATGTCAGGCAGGCTGCCACCTTGCCTCGCTGCTTTGCTATCAGTGTGTAAAAGGAGGAATGTGACACGTCCTTCTCCATCTTTGTGTCGTACAGAATGCTTTCTCCTCATGCGCCTGTTAAGTTTTCATATAACACGATCTTCACTTCAAACCTTTTCTATGACTCAAATGAAGGGATGTCATTCTGTGTAAACGTTGGATAACTCTGTTTCACATTCCTGTTCTGATGTCATTTTTATAGTCTGGCTCATTAGGATTTAAAGTCTCTTCAGTCTTTTTAAAATGTAAGCTTATGTCAGATAATAGTTCTTAGTGAAAGTATTACAAGTCTCTGCTTTGTTGAAGAATGCTGAACACAATATTTAGTGAGAGAAGTGCAGGCATCCGACCGTACAAAGAGACAAAGAAAAGTCCTTGATGATGAATTCTCATGTTCTAGTCAATCCCTCAAAGCAGAGATGTTTCCAATGGTGACAGTCATTCAAAGTCTCAAGTTAATGCTAAATGGAGTTCGTACAATTCTTTCTTGTCTTCTGACTCCTTAAAGGGCTTTTACACCGCACGTCACACCTACACATTCACACACTGATGGTAGAGGCTGCTGTGTAAAGAGTCCATCAGTATGAACTCATCCATTCAGACACATTCACACGCTGATGGTAGAGGCTGCTGTGTAAAGAGTCCATCAGTATCAACTCATCCATTCATACACATTCACACACTGATGGTAGAGGCTGCTGTGTAAAGAGTCCATCAGTATCAACTCATCCATTCATACACATTCACACACTGATGGTAGAGGCTGCTGTGTAAAGAGTCCATCAGTATTAAATCATCCATTCATACACATTCACACACTGATGGTAGAGGCTGCTGAGTAAAGAGTCCATCAGTATTAACATTGGACATAGACCTGCAGAAGCGGCGGGAGTAGCTCAGTCCGTATGGGACTTGGGTAGGGAACTGGAGGGTCACTGGTTCAAGTCCCGATGTGGACCATAATATGGAGGTTGGTAGAGATGCCATTGAGCAAGGCACCGAATCCCCAATGGCTCTGGTGCGCTCCCTGTGTGTAGCAGCCCCACTCTGACATCTCTCCTCAGGTCTATGAGTGTGAGAAGCATCTTGTCTCAAGTGTAAACCAGAACTACCCTTAGTGATTAATAAAGTATTCAAAAAGTACATATATATATTTTTTTTTAAAGCTGGGGACAACCGACTCTAGTAGAGTTTTCAATATTTGGATTGTGACAGTGAAGTGCATTCCAGACTTGATCCTCCTCTAAGCTGCTCTTGCATCACATTTACTTTACAGTTCTCTATAAGGAGCCATTTATCTGCACCTTGATTCAGAGATAACACTAGTTACACACTAGATAACACTCAACTTCTTTTGAGCTCAGTCAGACATTTTGATTTGGTCCTAACCGATATGGATTCATGGGGCAGATACCGATATTGATGAGAGAAAAAATAATCACAAAAACACTTTGAAGAAAAGAAAATGTTATGATTACATTTTGGTATTCATGATGCTGCAGCTTTGTTGGGTTGTTATTCACAGATTCATTCCATGTATTACCTACACTGTGTCCTCTGAGCTGGTGTCGTTGTGGTGATAGCATGCAGTCTTCTTTATTAGCTTAGCTGTTGATTCTGATGGTGGACTGCTCTCTTCTCATCCACAGTCCTGTCCTTTGGAGTGATGGCAGTGTTGTTAGTGCTTCTTCTCTCTGTGATCCTCCTCTCCCTTCAAACTCCTGCTCGAGCGTCTCCTTCCTGCCCTGTGAGCTGTCGATGCTATAGCCTCACTGTGGAGTGTGGCTCCACCGGCCTAAAGGACATCCCCAAACACGTTCCTCCATCTACACAGGTAGGCTCAGTGTAGGATGTCCACTGACAGTGCTACAGATGTTTATGTCATGGTCTCTCTTCATCTCGTTTTCTTTCCTTCTATCTTTCTATCTAGACTGTTTTCCTCCAGGATAATGTGATTGGCCAGATCCGTCGACAGGACCTCACTCTGCTGAGGTACCTGCACTACTTGTACCTTCAGGTAAAGAATGAACACACCTGAAGCTACAGCTTTGAAGAACTCGCTCTGCATGAGAATCAAGGATTTGTGAATCTACTGTTTAATTTTTAGTGTTATCATTCTGCCATGTTTGATGAAGCAAAGAATTGTATCATTTTTAAATTGTAGGTGTGTAACCCTAACAGTGTTGAATAAAACTCAGCACTTGAAGACGCTTTCTTCTATCACACAGCTCGCCCAGAGACTCTAAAGGCCTTATTCAAATCAATTATTATCAATCAATCATTATAGCGCCAGTTTGTCTCTAAAACAGAGCATATGGGATAATATGTATTCCTCACGTTCCTGGACGACACAGTCTGATGGTGATGGCTGGGCGTCAGGGACATCGAGTGGTGGTAGTGCCAGATAGCCTCGCTGAAGGTTTGGGGAGCTCCTTCTCCTCAAGAGCCTGACTTCTGTATCCACCCCTTGAAACAGGTTTTGATATGTAAAGGTGTTGGAGTTCACTTAATCTATAAGTTATAGAAACAGTTTATGGTGTTTGGAGGAACAAAAAGAACGATGAGTCCTTCACCATGCTACCTTAAGGTAATGTTTTCTGTGTATATGTAGTGTTTATCATGTCCCTGCAGGTCCTGAGTAATAATGAAGGGAAAGATTGTGGTTTTCACTCCTCATGCTCCTTCTTCTCCAGAACAACACTATTTCAGCGGTGGAGCCTGGCTCTTTCCAGAACCAGGCTCACTTGTTGGAGCTGGCTCTGAATGGGAATCGGATCCACCTGGTGAAAGCGGACATGTTTCAGGGACTTGAACATCTCCGCATTCTTTACCTAGCAGGAAATGACATCACACGCCTGCTCGACTACACCTTCCGTGGCTTACAGGTAAGACATGTTGCATGATGATGTCTATACATTTTCATTTTTCATGTTTAAAAGAATGATTCCCACAGAGTTATGGGAGATACATTTTCTGTACTGTTATCTGATGGCACTGATGTTTCCTCATATCTAAAAAAAATCTTGATAAATAATAAGACCCCCCCCCCATGTCTCTGCAGCGTCTGCAGGAGCTCCATTTACAGCATAACAGTATAGAGATGTTGGCGGACCAGGCTCTGGTTGGTCTGAGCTCTCTGGCTCTGCTGGACCTGAGCAGGAATAATCTTCATACTATCGGCCCTGCAACTCTGCGGCCTCTGGTCAGCCTGCAGGTCCTGCGCATCACAGGTGAGACATGTCAGTCCTCTTCCTGAAGGGTTTGTGTATGTAGTCAAAAGTATTTGTCTCTATGTTCACCTTAAAGACAAGGTTGGTCATTTTCTCCAGATCCACTTTGTAAGAATTTGGTTGAAATTGTCTTTAGGTCCTGACAGAAATTAATAACTCATGTTCTCTGAAAAAGGAACAAAGAGAATCCGTCATCTGTAGCAGTTGTAAGTCTGTAAAAACTTTAACCAATGCCTGCCACGAGGTACCAATCTGATGAACCAATCACACGCCTCCATGTCTCCTTGCTCACTCTCTACCTCTTGCGTGCTCTAGCCCACACTCAAAGAGCGTCACTGATGACAGAGTTTACACTGTGAGTCTATCGTTGTCCGTTGTGAGAAGTAAAATAGTGAAGTTTTTTTTTACATGTATTATGATAAAGTTTAGTGTTTACTTACCGCTGAATGAGACATGAGACGACGTAGTTTCTACACAATGCAAGAGATGAGCTGAGGTCCAGTTCTGGAGCAACGGTTCTCGTCCATGTAAGTGAGGGGGCGTGGCTTTAGAGGGAGTACAGAGGGGAGTGGGGTGGGTGTAGATGGTGCACTGAGGGAATGCTACTTTCAAAATCATGCTAGTTTTAAAAAATTACCTTTTATCTGTCATATCAGTTATCTGCCTTGTATGAGAGATTTCTTATTCACTGTCTCCATGGATACTGAATGGCTTGATTCAGCATGTAGTGGCTTCATCCTAACCTCCTGTCCTCTGCTCTGCTGTAGACAACCCCTGGCGCTGTGACTGTGCTCTCCACTGGCTGAGAAGCTGGATTGATGAGGAGGGCCAGAGGCTGCTCAGCTCTGCAGAGCGTCGGCTGGTCTGCACCGAGCCACCACGCCTCTCCCACCTTAGCCTGGTGGAGGTCCCCCTCAACAGCCTGGTATGTATCCCTCCACTGGTGCAGCTGGAGCCCAGGAGGCTAGCTGTGCGCCTGGGAGAGAGCCTCAGGGTGTCCTGCCATGCTTCTGGATACCCTCGGCCACAGGTAAGGATAGTTAGCATAGAATCATCTCATGGTTAATCGCTCTTTTTGGATTTTCAAATGTAAGGGCTCTGAGAGAAATTCTGATGTGAGTAACAGAAGTCGTTGTGGCTTCATTAATGATGAGGTAGAGGGTGTCGGGTAAAAATAAAACCCAACATAAAGAGAAATAAGGTGTTGTTTTGTAATGAGCCTCCCAAAAAATGAATGACTTAAGCTGGCAACTCTGTTTCAACATTCACATTGACACCAGACTTTAATATGTGAACTTCCCCTTTAAGAGCATCTGACCTTTGAACTTTTAAAGTAATGCATCATTAGTTACACTCAAATATAGATGGGTAAGCCCCTTTAAAAGATCTGACTTTCATTCAATGAAGTTTCAGTTTACATTAATGTCTCCTGAATATTGGACATTTGTAGTTATTTTAAATCTAGGTTTTCTAGTTGGTGATTGTAGTGATACTCTCTAGAACACTGAGCTGACCATTGACCATGTAACCTGTAACCTCTCTGCAGGTGACCTGGAAGAAGGCATCGCAGGGTAAAGTGGTGCTCTCTCCTCGCGGCCTGGTTCATGAGCTGGGTGCTGGGGCAGCTGGAGGAGGCAGAGCCGAGGAGCCTTCTGAGGAGGCAAGAGTCAGTCTTCAGAAGACTGAGGGCGAGCGCTTCGACCCCGACACCGGCAGTGGAATGCTGTTTCTCAGTAATGTGACTGTGGCTCACGCAGGTTTCTATGAATGTGAAGCCTGGAATGCAGGGGGCGTGGCCAGGGTGACCTTTCAGCTTGCCATCAACTCATCTACTTCCTCTTCCTCTTCATCCTCCATCTGGGCATCATGGTCTCAGGTGTCCTCGGCCTACTCCCCAGCCTGGCCCAGGTTAAGGAGCCACGGTCCTGCTGTAGGCTCAGATGTGAGCCGGGAGCCGCTGTATGCTCTGGGCAGCATGGCCTTCAGCGCTTTGGGAGCCGCTACTCAGACTGCTATAGCTGTGGGCATCTCCCTGCTGTCACTGACCGCTCTGCTGCTGGTCGCCATGATTTACAGCCGACATCACCAACGAGATAAGGAAGCGGAGCAAGCTGAGAAGGTGTGTGTCTGATGTTAAATACTTATTAGCATATTTTAAAGCACAGGGCTGAGAGAACCTGAGGAAGCTACAGGCGAAACACATTGTTCCCTCACAATAAAAATACAGTAAAGTTATTTTCAGTGTGCCACAGACTTTTGATTGATTTTTGATGGTATGTTCCTGCAGCCGTGTGCACATCAGAAGGTGTTCAGGCCATTTAGATTTAGTATGCACGACTTTAACTTGTTGCACTGAATCTCTACGCAGTCTACACAATAATAATATAGGCTACATATATATCACTAACAGCTACTATTGTTTTGATATACATTATTTACACTTAAGGTGTTGCTGATTCTATTATTAAAATCCTATAGATGAATATTGCACAATTTACAAAAAGTGATTGCACCTGTAAATATACATATAAGTATAAATGTATGTTTATTTATTTATCTATCAAGGCAAGGCAAGTTTATTTATGAAGCACATTTCAACAACAAGGCAACTCAAAGTGCTTCACACAAGAAATCAAAAAGCATCATGACAGAGGAAAGTGATTAAAAATCACTGAAATTATTAAATTTGAAAATATGTTTAAATGAAAATAATTCAAATGAAATGAATTGAAATAAATAAAGTAAAAGTATAAAAAGAGTTAAAAGTTTCAAAAATGAAAGGCACCTGTAAACAGGTGTGTCTTCAGCCTGGATTTAAAAGAGCTGAGAGTTTCAGCAGACCTGCAGTTTTCTGGGAGTTTGTTCCAGATATAAGGAGCATAGAAACTGAACACTGCTTCTCCGTGTTTGGTTCTGACTCTGGGGACAGAGAGCAGACCTGTCCCAGACGACCTGAGCGGTCTGGATGGTTCGTAATTAATCAGGAGGTCTATCAGTTTATTTGTAAAGAACATGTATGCATCTGTTACATCTAATTAAGGTGCAACAGATGTAATGTAAATGTTAAATGGACTTGCGTGTATATTTCTTTTCTCAAAGCTCTTATAGGGCGTGGTCACACGAGGCAATCTGTACCGTGCCTAAGCACGCTTTACCCCTAAAGTCCAATTAGTTTGACCAGTGGGACCGCTCCATGCTCAGGCTCAGTACACTTCCTCGGCCCTGGCATGAGGAGAGGTGTGCTTTGGCACGGTATAGTTCATGCACAAGTACAAGCACGAGTACACAACGTAGACAGCCTTTAATATAGAGAGTGTTCTGTCTGTATCTGACTAACATGACTCAAAGGAAAGACACAAAGTAGCTGTCATGTTCTCCGATGTGCGGACTTGGCTGCACGTATCTTTTATTTTTTTATTTTTTTATGGCTGTATCTGATTAAAGTGACAGAAAATAAGACACAGAGTCAGTAAAGTACCGTTCACGTTCTCTGTTTTTTTCTCCGATGTGCAGACACGGACTCGACTATGCGTCCCTTTATTTATTTATTTTTCGAGTCTGTGTGTTTGTAAACACGCTTCATAATAGCATAAAGCCATAATGCATGTGCTGTATTACGAAGTTATCTAGAAGAGGTTAGTGTGCATATGCCTGGTTTGTTTTGGAGCAGTCTGACCGCAGGCCGTGAAGGTCAGCGGGGGACTGGGGAGGAGAGGGGGGGGGCAATCGTGCTTCAATACAGCACGGTACAGATTGCCAGTGTGACCGTGCCCTTACACCACAGGTCACACTTAAATGTTCACACACTGATAGTAGAGGCTGCTGCGTAAAGAGTCCATCAGTATTAACTCATCCATTCACACACTGATGGTAGAGGCTGCTGAGTAAAGAGTATCAGTATTAACTAATCCATTCATACACATTCACACACTGACGGTAGAGGCTGCTGAGTAAAGAGTCCATCAGTATTAACTCATCCATTCATACACATTCACACACTGACGGTAGAGGCTGCTGTGTAAAGAGTCCATCAGTATTAACTCATCCATTCATACACATTCACACACTGATGGTAGAGGCTGCTGTGTAAAGAGTCCATCAGTACTAACTCATCCATTCATACACATTCACACACTGATGGTAGAGGCTGCTGTGTAAAGAGTCCATCAGTATTAACTCATCCATTCATACACATTCACACACTGATGGTAGAGGCTGCTGAGTAAAGAGTCCATCAGTATTAACTCATCCATTCATACACATTCACACACTGATGGTAGAGGCTGCTGAGTAAAGAGTCCATCAGTATTAACTCATCCATTCATACACATTCACACACACTGATGGTAGAGGTTGCTCTGTAAAGAGTCCATCAGTATTAACTCATCCATTCATACACCACTGACAAAGCAGCTGGAACAACTTGGGGTTAAGTGTCTTGCCCAAGGCCACATCAGACATGTTGCTGCAGGAGCTGGGGATCAAATCCCTGACCTTCTGGTTGAGAGACGACGACTCTACCACCTGAGCCACAGCTGCCACAATGTATACAGGACTTCTAGCCATGGCTAATTTTCAGTCTGTGTCTCTGTTTAGGCTTTTAGGAAATAACACATATGATACAAGAACACTGTAAAACAGATTTAGACAGGAAATGTCCCCCTTACTTTGTGAGTAGGAGGGGAAATGGACAGGGAAAACTGCTACTGCCGTTCAGTACAGTTGTAAACTATTAAAATGTATTTTCTGTATTGTTTTGTATGTAACTGTACCCTGTAAGTGATAAAGGTGAATTTGTAACCGCAGGAGGAGAGCATCCTGTACGTGAACGACTACTCTGATGGCCCCACCACCTTTGCCCAGCTGGAGGAGTACCGTGACGAGCGGGGCCATGAGATGTACGTTCTCAACAGGGCCAAGCCTGTGCTGCCTCCTGCTCCGCCCACAGCTGTGTCCACCACTAACCTCGGTTGCCCCGCTCCATCTGACACCTCCAGCCACACCCTCTCCTCAGGGGCAGGCCAGACCATGAGTCCCACTCTCGCCCCCAACAAACAGCAGCAGCAGGAAGGAGACATACGGACCATGAGGAGAATGGCGGGAGAGGGAGGGGAGGCGGAGCCTGTGATCACTTCAGAAGCTGAAGGGATGTTTCTCAATCACACAGGCCTGTTCATGGACTCTCAGATTGCTTATGAAATCCACTGCTGAAAAGGGGAGGGAATCCACTGCAACATAGATTGTTTGTGTAAGACAGTATCTACCAAAGGAAAGTCAGGGTGCCGCTGCAGGAATCCAGTAACTGACTTATCCACTCTTATTGGAGAAGGTTTTCACACCTGACAGAAGGAGCACTCTGGTTTATTCAGTCACTAGCCCTGCTACTTTCAATGACATTGACAATATGACCTTTACACCACATGTCAGTGGAGTGTAGGCTGCTGGGTTGACTGGCTTTTGAAAGCCAAAACACTCAAAGGTTATTTTAGTTGGACTCAGGTATTTGCTGAGCTGCTCATAACTAAACTTCCCTGTACATGAACATCTGGATCGGCTACTACAACCCTTCCACCATCGTTACTGTACAAGAGTAAACATCAAGACTCACACAAAGATCGCTGGTTATTTGGGCAAGTATTAATGAGGATGAAATAATGGAATCATCTCGATCAGGCGCATGAGAGAACCTTTGTGTGTTTTATTATTGTTATTTATATCTTGACTTGTTTTCATTTACTCTCAGACTCTGCAGGCCGTTGTAAACATCCCAGAGAAACGCAGAGATGCTGGGACTGTTTCTATGTAAGTGAGCATGTTGGGCATCACAAAGGATGGACATTTTTGTTATCTTCAATCTGAACTTTTCTGATTAACATCCTGTCAAGTTACAGAATCACACATGCACACACTCGGTGTCTCTGGGGTTAGCTAGTTCTCTCTGAGCCTGACATCTGATTCCTGGTTTCATAGAGCTGGTGGGCTCACACCCTGGCTACACCTGTGTCTTTAAATCCAGATGTGAGACAGAATCAGGCAGTGTAGAGGGTTTCGTATGAAAGAATGTCAAACTGTTAAGTCAGAGCAGAAGGCCGACTTTTGAGGTGGCAGAAAGTCATATAAAGTGAGATAAACAAAATAAGCTCTGTTCACTAGAAGTGAAATAAGAAAAGGACATAGAAATTAAAATATCAGCGTTAGGCCAATATAAATGATTAGTATCACTATATTGGTCTTTTTCATGGCAGGGCCAGTAGCATCATCTGTATCCTTGTGTGTCAATATGAGTAAACTATGATGATTAAGAAATTCATCAAATACACGGCTAGAGCCAAAGCAACAAAGAATGACTGAGTGAAGAAAGAAGAAATGGCCTAAGACGTTCTGATCAGGGGCGGGTCCAGATGGGTGGCCAGGGGTGGCATGGGCAATAAGTAAGGTCTTTTACCTGCTTTTTGTAGCATAACAATGAGTAAGGTCTTTTACCTGCTTTTTGTAACATAACAATAAGTAAGGTCTTTTACCTGCTTTTTGTAGCATAACAATGAGTAAGGTCTTTTTACCTGCTCTTTTGTAATGTTAAAAGACAAAGAGTAAGGTATTTTACCTGCTTTTTGTCAAGTGTCTCGAGATAACACTTGTTATGAGTTGACGCTATACAAATAAAAATTGATTGATTGATTGATGGGCCCCCTTGAAATCTGATTGGCCACCTCAGGTTCCAACCAGAAATACAGATCTATGATTGGCTATTTTCCTAATCAGAGGCGGGACTTAAGTACAAATCAACTATTCTGGCTGATTTCAACAGGCCCATGGTCATACTTTCATTTGTAAATAAAAACTTTGCTTCTCTTACCATAAACATTTCCAGGGAAAAACTGTGTGTACACTGTAAAACGTAAAATGGACTTTATTGTCAATAAAGGTATTTTTGTAAGTTAGAGAGCTCACAAGAGTTTTCATGCTTTTCTAAGAACTTTAATTTGAGATTTTGCACATCTTTGTTTTTGAGTCCCTAAAGAATCAAGCTAAGAAGATTGATATGTCGCAAAAATGTGTTACATATGAGTACAGATCATTAGTGAGGATAGAAAGGGTCAAAAAGTTCAATTAATGTGCATGTGTGCCCCCAGACATCATGCCCCCCCTGCATAAGTCAGTGCCAAAGGGGGACAACCCCAGTTGGACACTGGACACGTCCCTGGATCCGACTGAGGAGTACTTACCATGAGTGTGTGAATGACTTTTTCCTTAAGGCAGTCATGTTTCATTAAGGGTCACAATCACATCAGAAATTATAAAAGGATGAAGTATGCATATCCTGTTTTTTCTCCTCAACTTACAACCTGTCATTAAAGGAAGAATGTGCCCCAGCATGAAACCAAAACAAACTGCTGTTTGGCCACACCTCCTCCATACTGAAGCCTCCGCTCTCCTCCAGAGGCACACCTCCAACCCCTCTCCACTCGTTCATATGAAGGAGTTATGAATTAGAACGCACCAAAATTAAGCACCATTAAGAGTAAGCCACTTTGCTCGAGCTGCAATCACCTGTGTCCTGCAGTGTTGTGTTAGCATGCTAATGTTAGCGCTCTTTAGTTAGCTTTTAGCTTCACATTTCATGTAAACTGACACAGAAAGAGCGTGATCTAAAAACTCTTACTATCATCCAAATAATCAGTGAGTATGTTCTTCTTCTCTCTAGTTCTTGACTAAAACAGCGTTTATACACAAGGGGAGGAGCTGGCTGTTGGCCAGCGGGATTTGAGCTTCTCACTCATTGTAGACAGTTATGACTCAGAGACACATTTACACAGGATATACTTGATCTATGATATATTTATGTGGAACATGTCGCACATTCTTCCTTTAAATGTTTAAATATTGGGACTATTTTCCCTGCCAGGGTACTGCTGAAATGATAATTACAGTAAGGTTTACTAGTTCTCTCATTGGTCAGTGGACAAGTTTCAAGGTTCAAGGGTTCTTTTTTATCCCTGAGAGAGGCCAACGCTTAACTCTAAGACACTGAGAATACAAATCGAAGGACAATAAACACACAAGATGAAAATCAGTTTCATTCTTATTCTATGGACTTTTATTTACTCAGTGTGTTGAATTGAACAGGACGGTACAACAAGAACGATAATACCAGGCATATGTATGTGTGAGTATATATGTACATACATACATATCTACAGAAACATTGCACACAGAAAACAGACTGATAAAACGATGTGCATCTGCTATTTTTAAATGGATCTTTTCGTTGCCTTTTATTTGAACGTATCTTAGTTTGGTGCCATATTCAGACAGATCATGACTCCATTGTTCATAGTTCAGATAGAAAGTACATTTCTTCTTATGGATATGTTTTGTTTTTTTCATTATTAAAAACAACTGTAAAAAATAAAGCATTTGTCTAAGTGAATTTCTTTTAAACAAAGATTAGTTTCTTGTAGGGTGCTATGCTCAATCCTTCACTTATATAACGCTCACGGCTGCACAGTGGTCAGTGAGACGTCATTAGTGGTTGTCTCAGTCCCGGTGGCATCACAAACATTAGACACAACAACATCACATGTCAACAACAACATCTAATGTCTAATTTTTATTTTCTGATCCAACAGAAATAATCTGATGGTGAAGGGACACAGCAATACTCAAAAGCCATACTTGAAATGGGCACGTAAGATTATCCCGGTCTACTTAGTATTCATATTTTTACATTGATAGAATAATTCTTTTAAAATAAGTTTATACAACAGATTTTCGTACAGTGGATCGATTGGTAAAAGGTGGAGATGTCCACTTCCTATCATATCGTCCAATAGGCGATCTAAGTACGAGCAACCTTAGACTAAAACATTTTAGGCAAAAAAAACTAAAAAAAACTCCAAATTTATTTTTTTAATATGATGAACAAGCATACTCAGATTTTCAACCAGTGGTGATTTAAGCTACACAAACACAAACAAAAAAAGCTCCTATTAATTTGTGTGACTTATGGTATCACTCAATGAAAAGCTGACTCAGACATCATTCTATGCATGTTCTACTTTTTATAGTCAATTCTTCTTACTAAAGTCTAGCTTCTTATCGAAACATGAAATGTTGCTAATGTTCAAGAGTGAAATTGAATTAAAAACCAAATAATTCAAATCAATTTAACCAGATTTAAAAGGAAGAGTTGGTCTTGTTTCAATCTGCTTACTTCTATTCTAAGGCGATTATTTTTAATCAATTTCAAACGGCAGTAGTTTAGGCAGAAGTTGTCAAAGTTTTTTCTTGGACACATTTGCAATTTGAGATCCATCTGAGCCCTTAACCTACCGGACAACAGCAGGCACGGGTGCAAACTCCCGGCAAATACCAAATGCCATAGAAAATCTGACGTCGTACTTTCTACTGCACTCATTGCGATGAGTACTTGGGACACCCAGAGACCAAGGCCAGGTCTTGTACGACGTGATACAGTATGCTGTTTACATAAACATCAGCAGGGATGTACCCCACGGAGAAAGTTTCCGAGTCAGAGTCGAACTACGAACTATGTTGCCTGTGAGACCACAGCAAATACAATTGTATAACAAATGGTTAATGAGCTCTCTGATCCAAATAAATCCAAATTCCATTTTTTTTTAGTTAACAAAAGTTTTCAAATTTCTTAGCGTTGATTATGTTGATTTTACCGCAGCAAATCATACCACTCTTGATCAGTAACTTCATTCATGATCATAATTAATCCCAGTTACCTTTTATACGATTTCAATTTTTCATTTATTCATATCTTTATTTTTGAAACATCTATTAGTAGTTACGGTTAAGCTAATGCATTAAAGTTTATTTCGCGATGCGAGAAATACTGCAGATTATAATACCCCTCTTTACTAACATGATAATAGTTTCTATTATTATGAGTTGTTGTTTTATTTTTGTTTATGCATTGACTCTAAGATCTATCAACTCAATAACTAATTTTACTATTTAAAACCTGATCCTAGACGGTATAAGTACTACCACATTTTTCCATGGAATCTTAAAGCTTTCTCAATTTTTTTGTTTGAATTAAACATTTTTTCTCCTGTTTTTCGGGTAGACAGGAAGGTGAGATTTGTGTTCTAACACACATCCTTCAATCATATAATGGCCATTTAAAGGACCAATCAGTGAGATGTGTAGAGAGTGAAATTATAAAGTGAGCTTACTATATGATCAGACATTAAGGAAACATGCTATGTTGAAGTGCTGGCTTTTCTGACAACAATGCAGCAGCCAGTATGTCCTCCTTCTAACTTTAGATTCTGGTCCTGAATGCTCTCGATTTGTTTGGACCAGAGAAGGTAGGCGCTTTTAAGGCACCCCCACACGGGGTGTATGAATGGATGAGTTACTTCTGATGGTCTCACTACACAGCAGCCTCTACCATCAGTGTGTGAATGTGTATGAATGGATGAGTTAATACTGATGGACATACCATCAGAGTGCGAATGTGTAGGTGTGAATGTGTAGGTGTTAATGTGTGTGTAAAAGAGCTTTGAGTCTAGTCAGAAGATTACGAAAATACTACACATGTTCAAGTCCATTTACCATTTACACTTAACATCATATTCACGGATACAATCAACCATGAGTTTCACCCCTCAGATCATGAGGGGTGAAACTCATTGAAGCAGGAACATATGATAGGAACATTGAAGCAGTCTGTCGGGCAAATGACTCAGTGTTTCTATTTATCTTTCCCGCTTTTGGTACATCTCCTAAATTGTTTTGTTGCACTTATATTGTTGTGTCTGCATCACATTTGTAAGTGAATGCTGCTCCTCCTGATTTTGAAGGTATTAGGTGTGTTAATGTTCTTTGTTCAGAGCGTGGAAAGTTTACTCAAGACATACTAAGCCAACTATGCATTTCTGTTCCCAAGGATTTTATAAATAAGTGCATACTGATTTGATTTGTGCGCATGTATTTTTAAATCTGAACATTTGTAAAGTGTGCACAAAGATTAACATTGCAAATCGCTGCAGACAGTTTACAAATCAGTGTGCAGCCAACAGCTGCTTCCACAATGGACAACTCCATGTCCCCAACCTCCACAGGGGACGCACAACAAATTAATTAATCAATCAATTTTGATTTAGTAAGAGCTGATCAAACAGGAAGGCATTAGACACAGGGGTTATATATATTTTTTTTTTAGAAAAGGTGGGTTTTTATTGTACATAAACAAAGAACAACAAATTCACAACCCAAATGAAAAGAACACGGCCGATAGACTCTTTTAGGGCCTACGTAACTACGTCACAGTATTAGCTGGAGGCAAAACGAAGCTGAACTAGAGGTAAACATGATCGCCACCAGAGGGTAGTAGGCGACATAGACGTGTTAAAATGTGGTCTTGTTGTGTTGTTGGGTGACAGAATAGAAGGAGTAATAACGGTAATGTCTTGAAACATCTAGTGTA